ATTAACTATTTAAAGTAAATGAATAATTGATATTTAATAAATAATAATTATTATTATTTATAATTTAAAACATTTAGATTGTGTTTAGGAACTTGAATTTGAATTTAATGTATGTATTTTAAATACATGTATTTTATATTTTAAATACTTATATTTAAAATACATACAATTCAAACACATATTATAAATACTTAATAAAATATACAATTTAGATAAATTAAATTACTATGAAATTGAAATTGATTTGATATTAATCCCTCTTATTGAGACATTTTTACAAACTTAGTAGGCAATCTCAATAAACATTTTTATTGCTGCTCACCAGTATGAACTTTGCTACCCCCATCACCATTGCCCACTACCAGAAACTAAAAGATACAAGCTTGTTGTCATCGTGGCTGCTACGAGCTGCAAGAAGTCTTGCCTTTACCTTGACTTGGCTTCTTGAAGGTTGGTCCTGACTTCACTGCTTTAGCAATCTTCAAGGCCTGAGCCTTTGGATCAGCCTTCTTCTCAATTGCATAGTGCACACCAATTGTTCAATCTAATTTTTAGGTTGTGTAATCACGAAAATAGAAAATAAAACATCACTTCGACAAGTCACACGAAACGAACACAATTAGAAGGTTATTACTTGTTCCACCCCTCAATCCCAAAAAATCAACAAAGCACCATTTAATATCCCAGTGAGATTAATCTAATAAATTTCAGTTAACAGTCAAGTAACTCCCTTACAATACCTAGGAAATAGACCATATATTCAGAAAATCTCATTACAAAGTTTGAGGTTATAATAAAAAATCAAATAAACTTTAGCATGAAAACATGAATATATCTTAGCTACCAATGCATCTTCAATTAAGACAAGAGTAGTAGTTTCTTGATTTTATGCTTTTATATCAATTTTCAACCCCAAAACAACGTCAAATGAATCCAAATTCAGATTACATCTTAAAAAAAAAAGAAAAAAGAAAATACCAAGATCTCAAACTGAATTAAAATAAACAAACAATAGCTCAATGACTACAAATGAAATAGGAAATAGAATCCATTCTCAAAACCCATTTCCAGTTCTGCAATATCAAATGACTACAGGGACAACAGTATACATAATGAGGCAAAAGAGAACTTCGGCTGCATCCATTACAGCATAAAGGGATCAACTATAAATTTGTATTACACAAAGGGAACAGTGAACCGGTCGAATCTATACCTTTTGGGGCCACTAGTTTGCTTCACCGATAAACCCTGATCTAAGAGAACACAACAAATGCAGAACGTCAATTACGATGGAAGAAGGTATTTCTCGAAATGAAACTAGAGCTGCAAGAAATTTATGGAGATCTTGATATCATCACCAATAAACTACCTCTCCATAAATGAGTCAATCTTTAAACCTTCATCACAGAAAAGCTATTTTATTGCAGAGGAAGATGCAGAGAATGAGCAAAAAATTTGAAATTCATTGTCAAATCAAAATCTATTTAAAATACATGTTATTTAGTCTTTTAAATATATAAATTAAAATATATGTATTTAAATTAAAATTTAAATATACTTATATTTTGTAAAAATAAATAATATATTTAATTTTATAATTTCAAATTCAAATACACTCACCTGAAATTTACATTCATGAACAAAGTATTAATTTATTTAATTGCATCCAAACAGTTATTTACAAATGTCAAAACAAATATCTCCAATGTCTTTAAGCATTCTATTTTAGTTAATTAAAAATTTCATATCATTTTCTTTCTCTTCCGTTTTTCCCACACCAAACATAATCAAAATGGAACAAAAAGTCGAGGACCCTCCCAGAGTGTCAAAAGAGGTCCGAAGAAGCAATAGCGTATAGAAGTTGACTGTTGACAGACACTAAACGGCTTAAGCAGACGGTCTTTCATGGAACAGGGCCTAAAACGACGGCAGCTTACCAAATCTACACTCAGCCTTTCTACTCCTGATTGTATAGAATCACTCTCCCATTAAGTGGCCAAAGATATTTTTCTCTCTCTCTACAACATACGACGCTTTTCGGTAGTCATAATGATGCTACACCGTCCTTTTCAATTCGTCCCCTTAAGTCAAACCCGTTGCTTTTCTGTCAAAAGGCTTTCTTTCTTGCTTTCTTGGCTTCCTCCGCGATCTCCACCGTGCCTCCCCCCACACTGATGTGTTTATGCATTGGTGATCTTCACTCTGTTCTCACTTTTGACAGTTTTAATGGCGATTTCTGCGTGTTCTCCTTCAGGTCTGTGTTCGATGAAACGTTTTATTTGTATAACTTCTGTTCCCTTCTCGATTTTTCATGTTGTGTTGATTTTGCATCGCCGGACTGGTATCAGGTCGATGGGTTTCGGTTTCTCCGGCGACTTCCGATTTCAGGTCGTCGAGAAGAGTTGAGCAAACTTGAATTCTGTTTTGATGCTTTGCACGCCCCGGTTAGTACGTTTATCAATGTCGAGTGTAGTTTCATTTGATGATCTGTGTGTTTCTTCTGCTTTGCTGTATTGACTTGTTTTTGGTTCATGTCTCCCTAGTTAATACCTTTCCCGGAGAAGTATCGGTAGTACTAACTGCATTTTGTTTGGTGTTTGAGTGGCCAATTGTATTTCTTGTTGTAATTTTAATTGTTGCTCTTTTGGATGGCAATGTAGATTACT